ATATTACTGTACGTTTATATACTTTGTGAAAATTGATCGTTTTAACCTTTTCTGCAAATACGCTCATTATCGGATTAAACAAAAGCATACTTTTAGAATTAATAGGGAATATAATATGGATTTGCATTTCTAAATAAATTAATAACAGTATTACTATATTCATGCACTTTTGCACAAACAGTAGTATAAGACTTTTCATTGATATGCACTTGTCACAGGAGTGCCTCATGGAGTGACTGACTGATAACCTGGAAGTTGAGTGTTCAAACCCGGCTGTCACCCGTACAGAAGGAGCACGTAAAAGTGTTTCTGAAATAACCACATGTAAAACTTTGATGCTTAAAATATTTAGGGAGAAATGGAATACCGGTGTGTATTTTTTCTTTAAACTACCAGGACCAGCAATATACAGTTTACATAATATGTTTATGTTTCTAAATTAATATTGTTTATGACCTTCAGATGCATTATGCTCCTCTTCTTTTTATGCTCAGCTACTAAAATTTCCCTTTAGTTGTAAAATTTAGTTGCCCGCAGAACGGGTTTGTACTGCAAACTTTGAATGGCTGCATCTGTATTACATCTTTGATTCTTTATCGATCCATGTTTGTGTGGTTAAAGGAAAGTGGTAGGATTTCAACCCTAGAGAAAAACCCTAATACCTAGGACAGGGGAGAGTGTGAAGCAGCAAAAAATAGGCTGGGGTAAATGGGCTAATTGGGAACTGTGCTGGAATTCAAGGTGGAATGACGAGTGCTCCGGGGGCATGGCGTAACATTACCCCTGTCCCCAGGGGTGGCTCCCGACGCCCCAGAGGATCGATTGGAGAGACGCCAGCGGAAATCAGCAATCGTTTGTGGATAGTTTGGTCAGAACAGATGTATCTACCTGGTGGGCCAACATAGAGACATACAATGGCATGTACAGCAGCACCTGCAGCCATGGTTGCAGCAGGCTATAATGTAATGTGTGAGTAGGCTAGGCTGAAGTAATAGCTCTTCAGTCTGGATATAAATACTGAGATTGACTCAGCATCTGAATAATGGGATGTTCCATAAGCTAGGGGCCCCGTAACTAAAGGCTTTACCGCCAACTGTTATTTTATTAATTCGTAGAATATGAAGAAGACCTGCATTCCGTGATCTAAGCAGGCAAATTGGATGGTAAACATTAATAAGTTCCATTAGATAGACAGGTGCCTGTCCTCTGAGAGCCTTGTAAGTAAGTAGAAGGATTTTGAAGTCCAACCTGTACCTGATAATTAGCCAATGAAGAGAGCTAAGTATGGGGGTTATATGGTTATATTCTCTGCTCCTAGTAACAATTCTAGCTGCTGCATTCTGAATTCAATTTAAGGTGTTGAAAGAGTGGTGGTTGCTCCCTGATAGTAGGGCATTGCAGTAGTCTAACCTGCTGTATACAAGAGCATGTATTCATTTCTCTGTGTCTTGAGTGGAGAGAAACTGCCTTAGTTTTGCAATATTTCTTTACTGTAGGAAGCATGTCTTAGATACTGTTTTAACATGAGAGTCAAATGAGAGCCTTGTGTCTAATATGACGCCTAGGTTACGTGCTTAGTCTTTGAGGCAAATTTTTAAATCCTCTGAGTTAAGTGCTGAAGGTTACAGATAAAATCTTGTACAGACGGCACCTGGATCTCTGGAAGGGTATCCAGGAAGAGGGAAGAGGGTTGGTAGCCAAGAGAACACTGAAACGGATACAAACCAGTGGCAGAGGTGAATAGGGAATTGTGGGCATATTCCGCCCAGGGGAGTAGGGAAACCCAGTTGTCCTGCATGGAAGAGATGTAAGCTCTGAGAAAAGTCTGAAGTTCTTGATTAGAACATTCTGTTTGCCCATTAGCTTGAGGGTGGTATGCAGTGGTTAAGGAAAGAGGCTCCAAGAGCTTTGCAGAAGGCATGCCAGAACTTGGAAACAAACTGAGGACCCTGTCCCTGGGGATTCCAGGGTCTGAGTCTGAAAACATTCTGAATGAAAAGGTTGGCCAGTTCCTGTGCAGTGGGCAAAGAGGACAGGGGAACAAAATGAGTAGATTTCGAGAACCGGTCGATGATAACTAGGACAGTGTTGCAACCCTGCCTGAAAGAGAGGTCAGTGAGGAAGTCTACCGAGAGGTGGCTCCAGGGGCGCTCTTGACTGGGTAGAGGTTGAAGCAATCCAGGGGTCTTAGTCCGAGGAATCTTGATTCTGGCACAGATAGTGCATGCATGGACGTAGTGTCCAATGTCCTTCTTAATTGTAGGCCACCAGAAGTCTCTAGAAATCAACTCAAGAGTTTGTTTAATACCGAAGTGTCCTGTAATCGGGAGTTGTGTACCCACTGAACGACTGCAGACCTGACCAAGTTGACCATATAAAGTCTTTCCAGGGGACACTGCGGAGGTATGGGGTGGGCCTCCAGGGGCGCGTCTTACCATCTGTTCAATATCCTATCTTACGGTACCCAAAATCCTGCTGGGCAGGACGATGTGCTCCAGGGGTTGTTGCACATTAGGAGGTTCATGGAGGCGCGATAGGGCATCCGCTTTGAGATTCTTGGAACCTGGGGTGTAAGTAATTATGATATTAAACCTTGAGAAAATTAAAGACCACCTTGCTTGCCTGGGACAAAGACGTTTAGCTGACTGAAGGTAAGACAGGTTCTTATGGTCAGTGAGAATGAGAAAAGAGTGTTGTGCCCCCTCCAACCAGTGTCTTCATTGTTCAAGGGCCAACTTGATGGCTAGGAGTTCACGATCTCCGACATCATAGTCCATCTCAGCCACGGTCAACTTTTTTTTTAAAAAAGCACAAGAATGCAAGATGCCTTTGTCCCCGTGGCGCTGAGAGAGAATTGCCCCGGCACCGTGGCCCGAGGCGTCAACTTCAACAACAAAAGGAAGGGTGGGATCCGGGTATTTCAGAAGAGGAGCAGAGATAAAAAGGCCCTTTAAGCGTCGGAAGGCGTCATCGGCTTGAGGGTCCATTTACCCTGTTGTGGACAGACACATTTTATAGGCAATAAAATAGATACTGGACTAGAGTTTCAGTTTGAATAGACAAATACCAAAGAAGAAACTAGTAGATTCCTTTCAAGAACCGTTGTTGACATTTATCAACCTGGCACACAAGAAAATTAGGATACGTGCCTAGGAAATATGGATAAAATGTAATTAAGCACTTACAACTTACAAAGAGAGTCTGTATACAGAGACCAGGCTATTTTCAAGTGGTCACCATATATAATTAGTGTCAGGTTTAAACCATTTCATAATAAATGCATGATTTGTAGGAGACAGCAAATGTTATTAGATGCAAGATTTTATTTTTTTAATAAAAAGCCTGTAATACAGTGTAGGTGTTGTTGATGAAGCCATGTTGAAAAACAAGAAACTTTCAAATTTAACATTATTGTGCTAGAGCACATTAAGACTGATCAGTTTGCACAAATATTCCTGTTGTTATGCTGTCTGAGATGTCACTGAATGTAGAAAAGGGTGCATTTTCATTCTCTTTTTTCATGCTATAGACCTCACTTTTACCAGATAAGTTACCTGAGAACAAATTCTTGAGTACAATGAGAATCTGAAGAGTATTGATTTATACAGTGAGCAATCTGATTGAAGTTCTTTGCTCAAGCCTCCAGTAGCTCTGCTATGACCCCTAAGCAGCCCTAGCAGATTTTAGAGAACATAAGATCAAATGGCAGTTTTTCTAACTTTGTAGTCCATTATTAATTCTAACTCTATTTAAGTGTTATATAAATGTATTTGATGTGTTGGTGTGTGAATTCTGTTTAAAAAGTATGTAGCAAGATTGATGTTTTTTTAAAACTTAAGATGCCATATATTTCCATACTCAACAAACTATTCCAGTGACAGAAAGACTATTTGTATAATTTCATTTGAATATTTGCATAGTTGATACCTTTTCCCAGTTAGGAGAATGGTAAAAAAGATGCCAAAAATAAATATTTAATTCTTTCTGGAATGTAAGAGGAAACATTTCACCTTTCCTTAATAGCAAAACACAGCCAGCAGCCCACTGAAGCTAAGCAGGTGTGAGCCTGGTCAGTACCTGGATGGGAGACCTCCTGGGAAAAACTAAGGTTGCTGCTGGAAGAGGTGTTAGTGGGGCCAGCAGGGGGCGCTCACCCTGTGGTCCACGTGGGTCCTAATGCCCCAGTATAGTGATGGGGACACTATACTGTAAACAGCTGCCGTCCTTCAGATGAGATGTAAAACCGAGGTCCTGACTCTCTGTGGTCCTGGCCAAACCCCCTCCTGGCCAAATTTCCCATTGGCCCTAACCAATCATGGCCTCCTAATAATCCCCATCTCTGAATTGGCTTCATTACTCTCTGCTCTCCTCCCCACTAATAGCTGATGTGTGGTGAGCGTTCTGGGGCACTATGGCTGCCGTCGCATCATCCTCGTGGATGCTGCACATTGGTGGTGGTGGAGGGGAGACCCCATTACCTGTAAAGTGCTTTGAGTGGAGTATCCAGAAAAGCGCTATATAAGTGTAAGCAATTATTATTATTAATTATTACTTTGCTGTGTGTTTATTCTTAGCTTTTCATGAACACTTTAGATCACCACAACATTTTTATTCTAATTATACATATCACAAGGTGATAGCAGTTTTGTCTTGTGACTGTTCCTGCTTGTCATAGTGACTTAGCTCTTTTAGCAACAGCAACTGGTGAGCAACAAACGTGTGTTTACCAGTCATGAAAATTAAATTGAAGAAGTGTTTTCTGTAATCGTTATATTTCCCTATAACGTTCCCTAACATTCCCTCTTTGCCAGGCTTCAGAGCAGAACAGAAAGTGATATGATACCAAAATTGAACAGTACAGGACACACTAGGAAATAAAAATAAATTAAAAGGCAAACATTTTATCCACTCATTTAAGTTCTCTTAAGGTCAATTATGTTATTACAGTTTGTAGTGAAGTTTGCAATTGACATATGGTGTTTCTCTGTTTTGCATTTCAGAGGCCCTGATGATGTCATTAGTGACTGCAAGCTCCTCATTGTGGAGGAAATTTACAAGATTGAGAAGCCAGGGGCACCTCCATTGACATCTGCTGATGGGCAGTTTAAACGTAAGCCTTCAGGGTGTTGTTAAAGAAACTTGTGTACTATAGAAAAGTGAGTAGCACTTTTTTGAGAATATACTGTTGAAAGATTAGTCAATCCCACAGCCAGTAATAAATTAATGACACTAATGTATCACAGAGTGGCTGTGGCATGTCTGGAATCACATAAAATCATGCCAACATCCAAAGTGAAAATGGAGTGTTGGTTGCAATTTACACATTGAATTAATAAAGGACAGAGTGTTGTCTTGCCTTTATAAACTATTTTGGTTGCTGTCCCAGAAATAAATTTTAGGTTTTGCATTTATGCAGGGAAGTCCAGGATGCCCTGTTGGCATTCTCTCAGGCTGTTTAATTCAGCTTTCATTTTTCATTTTTTATTTTGCTGTTACTGCACAGGACAAGAGATTAACCCTGCTTCTGTCCACAGATAATATGATCATACAGTGGAAATTCTATAGTTGTTTTTCCAGTGATGGATTCATTGCAATTCATTGTAGATGTATTCATTGCAAAATTCCATTATTTTTTAACATTACAGTATACTAATCAATTAATTTAGGTCACAGATTAAAATAATATAATATAACCAATTTTTAAAATTTAGTACACAGATGCTTCTGTACCCGTAGCTTATTACAATATTTACATGCTTTTGAGCTCATACCAAGGTCAGCACATAGAATTGATTAATGATTCTGAAACATTCAAAACCCTGTTAGAGAAAGAAACAAAATATACAATATTAGAATACTACTAACTAAAACAATAAAACAAATAATAAGTCTATTCCTAAACTGTTGTAACGTCTGTCACATTTTGTTGTTCTTTTGTGCATTTCAGAACACTAAAGAAATATTAAATATGTCCAGAATATGTTTGGAAGGAACACACCCTCTGATATTTTATAAATCACTCTTATAAGGCACAAACAAGAACAGCATGCTTATGATCAAAAACAAACTCAAAAGACCTTGCAGACAAACCCAGTCAGTGGTTTTCTCAGTGATCCTGCTTGCACCTGGTAAAAATGAACAACTGTAAATGATAATTCACTGAAAAACTGAGAGTGTGAGTTATGTAGATGTACAGTATATAGGTGAGGTAGCAGCTGAGGTATGTAGATGCATGCTAAAGAAGACTTCATCTTTTTCAGCTACTGGAAACCTTTTTATGACAAAGCCCATTTGTATAAATTGTATTAGAAAACAGTTGATTACTTTTGAATAAGATGAGTACCAGTAAGGATCTACAGTGAAATTCAAAAATATTTAAGCATGAATGTAAGAAATTCTGGAAGCCAAATAATCAGAAACAAAAAGCAAGAAATAGAAGCTCTTGATTTAGCATATGATTATGACATAATTGAAATCACAGAAGCATGGCTGAAAGATTATAACTGACAGCGGAATATGGATTTTGTACCATACTCAATACACTATAACGTTTTCCATGTTTTTTAAAACTGTGGTGCTGGTCCTGAAGAAAGATGGGAATCCAATTTTGTGTGGATTTCAGATCACTCAACAGCATCTCAACATTCGATACTTACCCAATTCCCAAAATTGTTTGAGAGACTAGGGAAAGCCACTTTCATCAGTACCTTCACCTTGTGTATGGAGTATTGGCGTATACTGCATCTATTACAAGCTTAGGTGCAGTTTTGCTACTGGGAGAGGAGGAGAATCAAGAACTCGTCTTGCCAAGGAAACCCAGGTATTCTGTGGTGGAGCTGGAATGCCTGACAGTTAAAGGGGACCAGGACACCCTTAAATCTATTGGCGATCCAATGATTTTACCACATAAAGGATAATAATGCTCAGATTTATCAGTGGTATCTGTCTCTCCAGCCGTTCAATATCCAGGTCTAATACCCGGCCAGGAAAGAATATCAGGTTGTGGACTTCCTCTCTTGCGGTTTTGGACTTTCATTCCTGCGAGAATATACAGTGCCTTGCGAAAGTATTCGGCCCCCTTGAACTTTTCAACCTTTTGCCACATTTCAGGCTTCAAACATAAAGATATAATTTTTTTATTTTATGTGAAGAATCACCAACAAGTGGGACACAATTGTGAAGTGGAACGAAATCTATTGGATTTTTGAAACTTTTTTAA